CAGGGGGCTCGGGGCAGCCCCCAAACCTCAAAGTCGCTCTCCCTCACTCACGGGACCCCGCTCGGCCCTCGGGGATAACTGGGGGGGCCCATCACGACCCCCCAATGGCATCTCAGGGCCTGCAGAGAAGTGGTGGCCGTCCTTATCAATCCACAACATCCTCCTCGGCTCCCAGGCAAGAGGTACACAGCCCCAGCCTCCCGCCACCATCAGGGTGACAGCACATGTGCCCGGTGTCCCCCAGCACCATGGGCCGAGCTCCTCCCCAAACACAAACACACCGACAGCACAGCATCGCCGCGCAGGAGGGGCCCCTCAGCAACAGCCCATTCATCCTCCTGGCACAGCTCTTGCATGGATTAGGCTTTCCTCAGCTCCTAGGGCAGCTCCATGTCCTCAAAGCCACTGGAGAAACCTCACCTGGCCCAAAGCCAGCAGGGCCGGACACGCCCTGCCCTGCCCGCAGCCCCCGCTCCCCCCTGTGTGCCCTCAGCGCTGCCCCAGCCGGGGCTGTGCCCACACCCCGCCAGGAGCCACCCCTCGGCCTGCCCAGGGTGTTCTGGCTGCAGGGCTCGTCCAGGCAGGGATCAGGTTCGGCAGGAAGGAGGCAGAGCCGGTGGCACGCCGGAGGGTGACCTCTGCCTCCCGAGGAAGCTGAAGGTCGGGGGCACAAGGAGGGAGGGACACGGGCTGAGGAGCTGCATCCAGCCTGGGTAACACCTGGCACAGGCTGGTGCGAGCAGATGATCTCACAGCATTGCTGCCATTTCAAACCATTTCTCAGCAGATATCTATATCCACAGAGCTATATGCACAGGCGTTATATATAGACATGTATACATAGACTGCCCTATATATAGATGCACATACCTGCAGGAAGGTCAGGGCACTCAGACCTTGTTTACTTCTCCCAGCTGTAGGGGTTAGCCTGGCAAAAGCCATGACTTCCACTTACCCACCTCCTCTTGAATTACATGCACATGCTGATTCCCAATCCGGATCCATGAGAAGGATGAGGAGCTGCAGGACTTCCTCACCTCTCGAGTGGTGTTTGTGTGAGACTTCCTGTAGCAGCACAGCTGAGGAGAGAAGGCCACCTTGCTCCAGGAGGATTTCCTCTTGGGCATCTTGGTGTAAAGGCTGCAGCTGGTACAGATCATGGCAGCAAAATCCCTGTTCTCCATCTGAGGCAGCAGAAACCACTTCTGCCCCTGAAAGTAAAAAGCAATTCAAAAATGTTCAGAGTTACCATCCTGGGGATGAACGGGCACAGCAGCAGCCCAGGAGCAGAAAGGAGGCATCTGCATGCCCAGGCCAAGGATACTCACCTTGAGAAACTTCTGTGGCCAGAGGTTCACCAGCAAGTCCAGCCCCCTCAGCTTCCACCTTATTGTGCACCCTCACAGTTTCCAGCAGCACTCCTGGCACCATCCTGGCTGCCAGGCAGCCTCTGCTCACTCACACTGTTATTTCCCCCCGAAGAATTCCCAGACAACTCAAACCTTGGAGGAGGGGGGGCAACCACCAAGAAGTCACACCAGCCAGGTGTGCTTGCCCAGGCTGGTCCCCAAGACCTGCTTTTGGAAGGATCCCTACTGCAGTGAACATTCCTGACCCTTTCTGGGGGGGCCCAGTGAGGCAGCAGAGCCCTTAGGGGTTCACTGGTTGCCTGCACTCTCTTTTCTTTGTGGTGGAATGGGACAGCTGCAGGACAGCATCCCCTTCTGTGGGGACTCCCTTGTGCCCCTCAGAGCAACACCCAACCACCCTCGACTGTCACAAGTCTCCATAGCACAAGGTGTGTTTTCATCCTCACTGTGACACTTCAGGGCTCACAACAGCGCTGTGTGGTTCTGGGTGCTTGTTCATTCTTCCCCTGCCTAACACACCTGTTTCAAATACTCCAGGCACTCCTGCAGCACAGCTCAAAAAAAGCCCCAAAGAACACCAACATAACAACAAACCAAACACGAGGTTTAAACCTAAATAAATAAGCAGACGTAATAGTAAACTTCCCAGAGCAATTGTGTGTAATCGCCTTTGGCAGTAGCAACCCTCACTCACACACACCAGCAGCTTCAGAAGCCTAATGCTGATGTTATGTTATTTAAATTATTCAGGGCTCCGTTACGGAGGAAACTCAGCAAATGGGGAGGCAAAGCTGTGTTCAAGTGCAAAATTCCCCGACTGAAGATGAGAAGGACTCTTCTGAGCCTGTTTGATCTGCTGCAGAG